AACTTTTAAAAAGTACACGCTGCTGTCATTAACACCGAAATCCTAGCTGTGGTTAGACATTGTCCCCATCGAAGGAGACCATCTCACTTTTCGAAATGATTGGAAACAGAGAAAAAAATCTTTATTTTCGCACTGTTCTGTTAGTAGAATTTTGTTTCTGCCTGCACGCAACCTGTCGTTATTTCTCAAGTCGGTATAAACTTTAGTTGACTTCTCTTTGCTCGGTATTGACTAAGTCACTACCTTTTATGAAGCTTATTGAATATTACTGATGGAAGACCCTAAATGAAGTCTGAGTATTTTAAGCTTTTATCGTTTGTGATATATCCAACTGTAGTGAGATAATTAGTTAATAACGAAGCAAAAACTTACGGTTAAATGAGACTGAATAGCCAGCCGAGAAGTTCTTCAAAATATGTAGATTCCACGGCAGTTGCTAATCACATTCTCTGTGAGGCTGTTGCATTGTTTTCTTGGGTTCCATGTGCTGTGATAACTCTAGTAAACGAAACTACACTTTCTTTGCCTAAATCATCCTGACGGACCGTGTGCCGTGTTGCGACGACTTCCACCGGGACAATTTACCATACCAGGTTAAGAGACTGTATCTCACAGCAGTTATTCTTACATATTTGGACTATTTCCAGTTCATTATGATTTTGCGGTGCTCCAATGGAAAGTTGCTGGCTTAATGATACCTTAATACGAACGCCTACTACAACCAAATGCACTGAACAACCCTGTATAAAAAATTGCCTTAAGTACCTGCTCGAGTAATTATCTTACAGTGATGAATCTGTGAATGATCTGAGTAATGTTACATACATATCTATAGAGTGCGGTACATATTTGCTTGTGGCTTTTATTATTTATGTGAAACCATGTTCAATTCACCATTCAAAATCCTTTCTATGATTCCCAAAGACGCCTAAGTGTGAGTTGAGGTTAACCTTAAACTTCTTAAACTGTAGGTACATGGCTAAAATTTAAGGTGACATTTCATGAGCAAGAAAACGTTTTTAAGAATCTCGTACGAAGATACAGTTAGCGACTTTTTACAATACATGGCAAATCTCACGCGAGAATCAAAAGTAATTAAAAACAATTTTGATTAAGTTGTAGTTCGTAAAGAAACGGCATTTGCGCAATAGGAAACAAGACAGGTGAATTTTTTTAAAGGCTGGAGCGCGCAATGAATTGAAGTTTGAATAATGGGTCCAGAGTGGTTTTGAACAATTGAAAACTAAAACTGTAAAGTGCTCTGTAATGTAGAGAAGATATCAAAGGTAAAGAGAACTGTTTAGTAGATAGTATTAAAATGTAAATAAAGAAAATTTATTTGAGCCATACAGCTTTTGAGCAGTCGTTGAAGCAACGTGAAATCTAAAAAAGTGTTGCATTGTATTGTACCTACGCAGTACTTTTTGGAAAAAAAAAAAACCTGTGGCTCCTGATTTAGAATTAATAGAAGTCAGCAACAGAACGAAACTTCGCTTCGTTTACAATATTCTTCGCCAGGCTTCCAGCTGAAACATAAAAAAAGCACATTTATGTACAAATGCGTTGGTTTACTTGACTTCCTGTTATTTAAAATTGGAAACGATGTTTTCGTCGTGGAAAACGTTTGCAATAAAACATGTCCTTGTTTTGAATTGTAGTAAATATTAGAAATGACTCTTTCAGTTGCAAACATCATTAGTTATTTCACAATGTTTTTAAAGGCGGAGACTTAAAGAGTCTGTTTCGAGTCTGCGACAAGGAGAGCTCTGAATATGGCAGCGAATTCCGGTGTCATACTGACAATATGATGCTGAGAATGAACGTAAGAAAGGAATAACGTTAGCTGTGTCGCGGTTAACTTTGCATGATGGCTTACTGGCTTACAAGTGTTCGATTCATAATGTACAAATAGCATCACCTGCTTGTATGTGGGCTAATGTTATTGTTACAACTCAATAATTATTGTCAACTCTTCACTTATGGGGTATAAGCTTGCACGTAGTTTAAAAATTCAATGACAGAGATACTACAGCAATTCAATCATCTTACCACTTTTAAAGCTTGCCTCGGGTAAATGACAAGAACTTTTAGTTGTGCACTAAAACAGATGTTAACTAATTCCCAAGAATTGTACACGCAATATTTTCGCTGAAGATTACTCGAAACTGACGGTGGAATTAGTAGAGATCAAATCATTGGAGGCAAGGAATAGCACCGATTTTTGATAAGAAACAGAAATAATTGAGAATTCTCTGCGGTTTTAGTGGACACAATTAAGGCTCTCTTTATCAACACACGAATAAATGCAATCCCGGCAAGAATCTGGAGTGTTTGAAAACCCTTTATTGGTATTGTACTGAAATCGTTTACAAATGCATCGTTTTGTGTTTAAACTTAAGTTTGTATAAATCGTTCTTGGAAGCACTTCAGCTACCATGGCTGAACCGATCCTGAAATATTAATGATAAATGTTTGCTTGATGCTGGGAATTACCCTACAGGCGTGCACGTACCAATAGGTGGACAAGGTCCACCTTTGGAGAGAATCCCATTATGCAAGTATTTCAGACAGGTTTAATGACCACTGCTGTGGTTTTTCTTTACGTTGAGATATGTTGTCTATCCAAGCAACTCTAAAGCATTCCGCACTGATTTTAAGCACGTAAGACCATTTGTACAGTACAAGACAAGCCAGCAGTACATTCTAAGCCAGTGAAGTTTAGTTATTTCCTATTGAGTCTTCATAACATCACTACAAAATATTTTGCGGACACGCAGACTACATTATCAACCGCTGGAGGGTTTCTCCGCATTAAAATCTTCGTAAGCTAAGGCTCTCCGTTCAAGATATGTTATTTATTTTCCTTTAGTTCTGTTTCGTCTCTTCTCAGAAGCGTAAAGCTTTCACCGTGTGGATATTTTTTAGTCGGGTCAGGAAAAAAGGTGATCAAAAATGCGCGACGACTTTAGTACAAAATAAGATGCAGTGTATCTCTGTTTATAACAAATAATAGCAACACGTTATATATATCAGTTTCAATTTATATGTCGCGAAACTATCGCTTGTTTTGCTGGATTTGCGGAACTATACAACATTGAAACAACATTTTTACCAGTACTATCTTCGTTGTGTGGGAATTGTGCTGGATTTTAAAAGGCGGTTTCTGCGAGTTTCTTCGGAATTGAATTACATTCAACAGAACTGAAATGCGATGTTATGAATTCGACCTAACTGTACTAAACAGTCTGAAGAAAAAAACCATTAATATCATTTCAACGAAGTGTTTCTGTCATGATAAGATCACCACGGACTCGTTTCGTCTTTTTGCAAACCAGGCATGCCGCCATCGAGCTGATTGATAAAACAACATCACTAATTAGTTAAATATGACCAACTCTCTAGTTGGTTCTGGTTCACTTTTATCACCAGATATTCTAATGTTATTGTGTTTCAGAATCTATTTGAGGATTGAATAACACCGATAACCTTAAACTGTCATACTTGTTGATGTTGAAGATCAGTTTCTCCAAAGAAAGCGATAAATTATATTCCGAGTAGCTCGCGTCACTTGCTAATGTAGAGTTTGTTCGTACCAGTATTAACAATTTGAAACTCATCTTTCCAAAAATGTTTTGCCAGGTCGGCAAGCCCTCGACGTATTGAACAATATAACTTCCCAAAATTATTTGTTGGTGATTAGCTTACAATGGTTTTGACTTCAGCAGGCAAGAAATTGGAACTGTAATGTCCTCGAGTTCAACAATATTTAACCCTTCAGTGGACCGGTCTGCAATTCTATAATGTCAGTTTACAAATTCTCCGTACCGCTAAACACAAGTTTAGTTTAGAACTGGTCGGAAAAATTCCTTCAGCTTCGTAACTATGGATAAAACATGGCGATGAGATTCTATATCAGTTTGACTATGATTTTCAATCGACCAACCATGGTGGGCAGTGTAGACTTGCCAATCACGTTCCAAAGAAATTATCGAATAATTACTTCATATCTTTATAGAACACGACGAAACTACAGCTGTAAAGCAAAATGTACCCAAAACAAGAGGAAAAATTCAAAAGCTAACTGCAATTGCATGAATGTGCAAGGAGCATTTACTCAAAGAATTCTTTGAGTAATATTTTATCATGTCAAAAAGATTCTGAGCAGTGTTGAGTTGAGAGGTTTCAAAACACAACTCAGTGCCTGGACTTTATCATGCACTAACTGATATTTTGTTATCCAAGGCGCAGAAAGGACTAAGCCCGAACATCCGGGACATCATTGCTAAGACTTAGTTGACTGAGGTAAAATGTGGACTGCTAAAGATATTTGGACTTCTAACTGCCTGAACTAAAACAGTACCGATTAAATGCACTAATATTACAAGACGTATACGTAAAAACCTTAGCATGTTTCGGTAAATAAATGACCAGGACTTTTTATTTGTCTTTGTGTGTAGTAAATGAATTTCTTCCTTTTAGACTTGCGCTAGAAACACGTAATGTTGTCGTCTTAAGTCCTGAGCTGAAGGCTTCAATTTTAATTAAACCGCTGTTGGTATTGATCTAGCAAGTGCGCCGGCGAATTCAATTTAAACGTGACCTGGATATTAGTCTGTGCAACTCGGTCATGTATCTACCTAGAGCACAACTCGTTGAGTTTAGACAACTTCTGGTTGGTGGACTTAATTTAGTGTGGAGCCCGCTTTCGTGATTATATGAAACTTATCATGCATGTCATTGCCAAGACAGATCAGTTCATGGCTTAAATCTCACTTCCTTCATTTTCAGTCGAATTGAAGGAAAGACAGATACCTCAGAACTTATTCTGGTGCTAGTATTCCTCACCGTTCCTGTTTATCTACATTTCAGTTAATAACACGTAACGAATCTACAGTCCTGCTGTTGATACCACAACAATGGATCATATTCGTAAACAAATCCAAAATATCCAGTTCTTTAAACATTATGCTTACAAGTGAAAAGATGCACAAAACACTTACATTCGCTCAATATTAACCGTAACTCAGCTTTCCAAACAGCCCTCTTCTTGTTCCTCTCTTGCATGTCAACAGTCTTCCGCTCACGTCAATTGTCTTTTCTCTTTAGCCTAGTGTCTGGCCGGCGGAAAAAAAATGTGTAACTTGCGAACAATTTGCATACGTCTTGATAAAAATCGATCTTTAAACCGATTTGGAAGTTATCTTTTTGGCTATCTTTCTTTTCTGGATTCTGGATTTTTCTAGGCTGATTAGATGAAGTCTAACACTATTCATCAACTTCGGCACGAAACGATTGCAGGTTTAGTGAATTATTCGGAGTCAATTAATCATTGCTGCATTGTTCCCGAGCTAGGATCTAAGAGCGAGTGATTTATCGGGAATAGCAGTATTGTTTGGCATTATTAAACCTAAAATCACATATTCAATCATTTTTCTTCTGTCCCAAATTGTTTATTTGGTTACTAGATTTAAGGGTGGTGCATAGGGTTTGTTGTATCTTTACACTCAGTAAATGCACCCAGGGTTTAATTTTCTTGTGCAGGTTTCCTTTCAATTAGCGTAAATATGGCAGAATAGCTGTAACCTTTCTCGATTTGCACCAGTAATCATTTTGAGTGCCAAGAATAGTATCTTACTAGATCTATTAATCTGAGTTGGTAGGTTTAGGGGGTATCTATTTACATACCATGTTTTCCTCTTTATTAACTCTGTTTACGTCCGTGATGGTGATTAGTTAAGACAGATGGCTTTAAACAGGTAATTAAGCAGACATGATGGCTCTAGAGTCCATAAAAAATCCGAAGATGTACGATTTATATAATCTTCCTGTGACATATGCAACTGTTGATTGTGATGTGCTGCACTGACACTCAAAAGGGCTCGCCTTTGACTCAAACAAGACGTTTGGGCTATCGAAGGTAACATTAATCACCTCGTCAAAACTGAAAAATCTAGCATCAGATAAGCCATTATTAATAAGGTGCTTTTAGCGCTCTTCAAATGGCGTCAAGAGACAGTTAATTAGCGGTGCTTTGGCTCATGGCCTCTCGCCCCCTGCAAAATACCGCGAGCGAATTTGCATCAAAGTCACAATATACTCATGCAGGCGTCCAGCTGAGAAAATGACCGTTTCGTAATGGATGAAGGCACTTACTTAGGTTAGCCTCTGACTGCCGTATTTGAATAATGGCGGCTGTTTCGACAGGGGGTCCAAATGGACTTCAGTCATCCAGGTCTGAGATGGATAAATTTGAGATCTTAATTCACGTTTCCCTGCAGCCTAAGGGCATACCGATGTTTTTGCACGGAAAGCCCTTTTCAGGTATGAGTCAAAACTCATCACAGAACCACTAGAAAACCAAGCGACGGGCATTATATTCCGTCACCGCGATCGCCAAACAAGTAAACAAAGTGTGCCTAACTGATAAAACGGCTTAATTAAACACTAAAGGTCGCTTAAGCACCCATCAAAGGTCGATTAATAAGAAAAGGTTTTTTTACCTACCTCACAAGTTAACACGACTTCAGCAAACTTTGTTGTTTTCTATTTGTTCTCGGCAACCTCCACTGACCCCTTGCCGTTTATGTTTGTTGTTTAGTTTTTCGACCATTCCTTCATGACTTGAAGCTTTCTTTTAGTTTCCTGTCCCTATCCTGACGTGAAACTGTCTCTCTGTCGAAAAAAACCACGAACCAAAGTTTTGGTAAATACACTTGTCCTTGTGGTTAAGTTCGTGTGTTGCTCTTTGGCGTACACACTTTGTTTGTCTCTAGGGACTCGATCTTAACGCCGGCAGAGGAACGAATGTCGATGAGTTATAACAATTGGACTTTTCCCTCGTCGGGATTGGACTAAGAACACCCGGCAAGAGATGAACTTTCGTACTGCGTGTGAACAAAGAAAAAGCCAAGACAACACTTGATCCAATCGAAACAGTAGCTTGTATACACTTGTAAAATCATAACAAGGCGTAAAACATACGCCGCTAGATAATAAACAAGCGCATGACACGGTCCTGGATCGAACGGAAGCGGAGAGCGTTTCTCAGATTTTTGAGGTAACTAGGCGTCGACAAAGATGACTCACATGGACAAACATCTGTCAACTTTCCCCAAGAAAAGACATCACTACAATAGATACAACAGGCTGTAAACAGTGGGCACACTTCCAACTGTGGCTTTGTCAAGTTTGGCGACGAGAACCTTACCTACCGAGTTGAAAAGTTCATGAATCCTTTTGTCCCACACTCACCGTAGTTGCCAGGACTGGATTACGTGCAAAATGCTACGGCGCGATACACTGTAAAGTCTTTTGGTAGGGGGCACAAGAAGTGATATTCATTTTAATAACGAAGGATGCGAAATTACCTATAGAGTTCACTCAGCCGTTAGGTTTCTTTTCATTGACGAAACGAACAAAAAAGGCAAAACAATTAAAAGCGTGAGAACCTGCTCTACTTAGATGAACAATTAAGTCCAGCACCCTCTGCGAAGTACAACAGTCTTTGTTAAAGCAACGCTCTCAATAAACAATGGTTGCCTTTTTAAGCCATTCTTCAGGTCTATTATAAAGTGATAACTATATAAGGGCTTGAAATATATTTTCATTTTGAAGTGAACATATATTTTGGATTTTTTTATAGTCGACTTCGCCTCGTCTATCCGCTTTGAAGAGTGTTTGCGTCCATATGGAGGCTTAGCGAGGTATTGATAAAGTTTGTAAAAGTTTCATACTGTGAAATGGATACTACGACATCACTTAACTAATGTGATGAATCAGTATTTGGTGATGCGATGTTACGTAAGTTTGTCCTTCTGGGAAAGAAAATGTAAGTGAAAAAGGTTTAGGTTTTGATCAAATCAAGTTTTATTACTCTGGCTCACTTCGATGCTTTCTCAAGTCACATAATTTATTACGTAACGTTTTAATTTTGCCTTGTTTTCCTCTCAACAGGGTAAATGATAATAATGTCAGTAGATTCTTGCAAATCTTATCAAACAACGCATGTCTTGAAGCACTTAGTCGACTGCATGAAGAGATCACCCAGGTAGATATTGAAAATGGACATCATTCGCTAGCCTGGCATGTTCTTTTCGAAGGGAGAGACATGACGACCGTTGTTCAGCGTTGTAGTCAGAAATAACACCATTATTAACCCCTGCTGGGGATTAATTTCACCCTTGTACCCAGTACTGAGCGAAATAAACACCGTGTTCGATTCAGCCACCAATGACGCACATTTCTAAAGAACACTGGACTATTTACAATTGATAGACAAAGCCATCTTCCCTAATATGGAAGCAGAGGTATTTATGTTCGTACCTTGTAATGTAGTAAACTAACAAGATTCAAAACAACATTTGAAGTTGCTCTTTTCAGGACAATGCACCAGAATTATTTAATGTTCTTCCGCAACTGTTTGGTTCTCTTTATTCTGCAAAAATGAAACACTTGGTTAATTCAAGAAGCTGAAAAAAAGTAAGGAAAGAAAAGAAAACGGGAATTATCTATCATCCAGTTGTTATTGTTATTGTTGTCGTTTTTCTCCTGTGATCTGCTGAAACATATGCAGTATTTGTTGCTTGAATTAGCGAAATGTCCCAGTTTAGTTGTGAAAAATGCTGCAAAACATTGCTATGCAAACCGTCCAGATCCTCTCATCAGGAGCCCCATGTTCTGTGTCGCTGGCCATGCAGTCAAAATTAAGGGCTCTGCGCGCAACAATACATTGTGAGCTATGTGCATGCGTTTTGTGACCATCGGTCGAATCAGGCTCTGTTAGTGTCCCAAAATCCTTCCTTAGAGTCTATCTGGGTGTTAGAAACTTTTTCATGCACATACCGTTCAGGCATCACTGATCTTACTGAACTTGCGCTAAACTTGATTACATGGTATTCGCTATGCTGTGCTGATAAGAGAGCTGCAATTAACTTTTTTTTTAAGTGGATCATATGCTCATTCCTACCACCAAAATTATTAAAAACCTTATGTCTCCAAAATTCACAAGAATCCGAAAGAGCTATAAAGAGGAAAGAACTATACGCAATAAAGATTTTGAAATAAGATCCTCATGAAATCGTCTGAAACGTGTTTGAAAATCTAAAATGCAGTTTGCAAAACGCTGTTCAATACGTGAGCAAACAGTTGGCACACCAAAATGTTCCCCAAAATGTCCCTAGTTGATTTAGCAACAATTAGAAAGTTTGGCTGTTATTGTTTATGTGTAAATGCTGTTTAAATTTGATAATTTTGAGATCACCTCGGTCACTTTAATGATCTCTCAGCCCTTCCCCTCCACTCCTCAGGCAACATAGTCTTTGGGTGTAATTCGTACCCCTTAGAGGAACCATGATAGCATTGAACACTACTATTGCAGGCTTAACTTCCCAAGGGTTTGCTTTATTTCTGTTTTTTCAGTCTATTCTAGCTTATAAAATCAATTTAGTTGAAATACTGAACTAGTAAATCCCGTGTAAAGGTCCCGAGATAACATCAGATGTGAGAAATAGAGTTTTAACCCTCTTTGTGACACCAATGTTAGTTTGTCATCCCGTATAGCTACAATAGGTACTACAAAGTTCTGAAAGTCTCTCACCCACCTTGTTAATATATAGAAGACTTAGTCCCTAGTGAGGGGTATCAGTCTAATGGAGAACCGTCACACTGCAAAGATAAATTTTCTGTTACGTAAGTAGAAGAATAAATGTAAACAACATGTCAAAATACTCTGTCTGGTTTAAATGATAATTAGTTGAACAGTTTTTCCTTTTCGATTTTCAACTGTCTAAGATTAAACATAAGTAGGCGACATAAGTAGGCATAAAATTTTAGAATGCTGTGGCGCTTGATCGATCAATATTGGTTCAGCTTGTGGTAATTTAATTTTCAGCAGTCCTGGTCTAGAAACAAACACCATGGCCTGATCTATTATTTTTTTACTGTCATTTTCCAAGTTGTTTAACTTAAGGGTCTGGATGAGCGTTGTAATACAATTTAT